CGCCTTCTTGGTAGCATCCAAAACCATCAAGATCAAATCACTCGTCTTCGCCGCACTAATAACCTGTCTTCCTCTACCCTTTCCCTCAGCAGCCCCCTCAATAATACCGGGCAAATCCAAAATCTGAATCTCCGCCCCACCGTATTCCAACACACCAGGAATGGCCGTAAGCGTTGTAAACGAATAAGCGGCCACTACCGACTTCGTCTTGGTAATCTTGGACAAGAAAGTCGATTTTCCAACAGACGGGAAGCCCACTAGGGCAATTCGCGCATCTCCGGATTTGGATACGTCGAAACCTGTACCACCTGCTCCTCCAGCTCCCGGACCGGGCTCGAGAAGTTGTGCGCGATAACGAGCGAGTTTTCTGGATGGCGAGGTGAGTAAGAAGAATCATCTATCGGGAAACCCCGAAAAGAAAGAGAACAAACAAACCCTTTGAGAAGTCCAAGATGATATTCTAAAAGCAGATCAGATCAGTTATGATCACGTGCTACCGATCCTTCTAAATAGTACATACCAGTCGCCTTATTTTCTATTCTCACCGTTAGTACATATTCCCCAGATGCTATCCACCTCTCCAATCATCACATATGCACCGCAAAACCTCGAGATTCATCCAACTTACTCTGCGTCCTCCTCATCTCATCCTCAATCCTTTCACAACATTAGTATTCTTCACCCACAACTCATCGCACCCCACAACTTCATTCCCAACACCAGAAAACTCACTCCTTGATCTTTTCCGTAATATTAACCATCTTGACGGTTTTGAGCTCTACAAGCCAGTACAACCTGCAATATCAAAGAAGCGCGTACGAGAAGATTCCAACTTGTGATTTTTTGAGGTTCTCGTTTGGGCACCCAAAAGCGGTGGGAGATGGCAAACACGACCAATTTTTCCGAGAGCTTGTTCGACACGGCCGGGAATAATGTCCAGAATCTGCTCTTATTCCCAGTCGATGGAAATTTTAACAATTTTGTCCCTAAAATGCGAGATGTAAATTAGAAAAGTGAACAATTTTTCAGATATGCAACAAAACTATTTCTACCGATGTTGACCCGCATAACACGTGATTACCCCTCCTCAAAACGTGGAAGCTTCCAAACAGATTCTTGACAAATGATACTCGAGTATTTTCACTCATTCATTTAAACATTCCTTTTCATCAATTTGTTTGCAGAATTACTGATCAGAATACATCATTTTCATTTCATCGTGCAATTCTTGAGGTAAACCTTTTCTTTCAATCTATCTATTTTATCTTCTCATCTATCCATTAAGTAGAGTTTCTTTACTCTTCCCTTTTTCCTCCATCAGAGCCATCCATCCATTATTGATTTACCATCACCCCTTTAAGACAGGAGTTCCAGTGACCCATTATAGCCAAAGAAAACGAAAGAAATGCAAAACCATCGCTTAGCTACGCCATGCCATTATACAATCCATCAATCAACCAATCTATAACCGTCTTCGCATCGACACCCTCCTCTACCTCCTATCAGCCCTTTTCACATCTCTTTCATCACTCCTTACCATGTCCCTGAAAACTCCCTGTTCCAGCATCCCCCACCCAGGAACCCATCTGCACCAACCCCACCAAGCCCCCTGGCCTGTAACCGCCGCCACAAAATTAGTTACGACAAAGCCCTCATTTATCTTTGTAGCTTCAATCCTATCATTGAGCAAACTAAAGCAATGATTTAGGCGCCAAATTCTTCTGTCCTACAGTCGATTTCAAGCCTGAGGTTTGGATAGCTAATGTTGGATCGTACATTCTTCCTACAATCCACTTATCGAGTTGCTCATCACTCATACCACGAATAGCAGGTTCACGGTCGAAGTTGAATTGTTGAGCTGCGCGGATTACTTGACGAGCAACAATAATACTTACTTCGCGAATGCGGCTGAGTTCAGGATAGAGACGACCAGCGGAAATTTCGGAAGGTGTGAGGGAGGTGCTCAGGGCTTCGGCTGAGGCGTAGATCTATGGGATCATTGATTAGTTATATTGGGATTAATAAGAAAGGACATGTAGATTGAACATACCATTTCTTGATTGATGCATGATGCTTTGCTTAGAATTGATCCAAGTCCGATACCAGGGAATACATACATATTGCTAGAATCTCATTAGATTTCAAACACAGCAATACGGCACACGGGAAAACCTACTTTCCTTGTCCAGCAGAATATGTTTTTCCATCTTGAACATAATCTGGGAATGGACTTCCGCTAGCAAACAAAGCTCTACAATCAGTCCATTTCATGGCTTCCTCGAATGTACATTCAGCTTGACTAGAAGGATTAGATAGTGGAAAGATGATCGGATTCTTGTTCAATTGAGCCATTTTTCTGACAATTGATTCATCGAAGATTCCTCGGATGGTGGATAATCCCATCAAGATTGTGGGCTTAACATATTCAACCACTTCTGGAAGGGTTTTGTATTGTTTCCCTTCGTTGTCATCACGAGCAAAGTAGACTTTGTGGTCAGCCAACTTATCACCTCTATCGGTTGTGATCAGACCCTATAGAGATTAGCTTTTGACTTCAAGCAAGAACAGCAAAATGTTTACCTTAGTATCAACAAACCAGAAGCAACGACGTGCCTCATCTTCCGTCAATCCCTCTTTTCGGAAGAATTCCACAATTTGTTGAGCAACACCTACACCAGCACTACCTGCGCCCATGAAAACGGCTCTTTGGTCTTTGACAGGAATGCCTGTTCGACGTAAAGCATTAATGATACCTGCCAAAATGACTGCACCAGTACCCTGAATATCATCATTGAAACAAGGATACCTGTTTTGGTACTTTGCGAGAGATGGGAAAGGATTTTTGAAATCCTCATATTGAACGATGATCCTGTTCATGAGTTAGTCAATTGTTATTCCCGCTGAAATCATTTGAAGCATACCCAGGCCACATCTTGTTTAAAGCCACCATCAACTCCTCCATAAACTCAGCTTCCTCTTTAGTAGAAACCCTCTTCATACGGTTTCCCATATACAATGGATCTTTAAGAAACTTCTCATTGTTGGTACCAAGATCCAGGGTAATTGGTAAGGTTTTGGAAGGATGAATACCGGCACACCCAGTATATAATGACAATTTACCAACTGGAATACCCATACCATTAACACCCAAATCACCCAAACCAAGAATGCGAGAACCATCAGTGACAACCGTCATCTCGACTTCTGAATGACGCCAATTACCGAGGATTTCTTCTAGATTTCCTCGATCATGGTAGGAGAGATATAAACCTATCAATGTCAATTTTGATATTGGAGTTTGGGAAGAATATGAAATACCTTCGGGTTGTTGGTAAATCTCTGACCATCTCAAACATGCTTCTCCTACCGTCGGTGTGTATATCAAAGGCGTGATATCCTACACATAATTGTCAACGCCGATTCCAAATATTTCACTTGTATCTCATCTCCCCATTCCCTCACCCCCTCACTCTCTCACCCCCAAATCATCAAAATAAAAACATACCGTCAAATTCTCTTGCACCAATCGATAAAATAAATGCACATTATTATTTCTTAAATTACTGAGATACATATATTTATCAATAGGAGTCTTCTTGGCGTTTAACTGTTGAAGACCTTGTATCAAATCAGCATATTATCTCCAAATAAACCACCCATCCTCTAAAATGGAGAACCAGATTGCGTTCATCCTCAAAATACTCACATCTTGTCGTCTGAAGCTTATGACTTTCCACACTAGGAGGAACGAGACCTAATGTTTTATTCTTTCTTCTCATCTCTATTGAATGTGAGGTATCGGGATAAATACTATACGAATTCCATCATTAATACATTCTCTTCGTCAAGAACCCATCTATAATCCCCAAAACATCTTCAATCCAACCTTCCCATCCAATTCCCTTCAAATAAACAAAAAAAGGAGAAAGAAACTCGTGACTCACGGATGATCGAATTTATTCATATTGACAATATTTTCCTGCGAATATCTCTTATCCAAAGTCGCAGTATTTGGAGCTGTAGAATCAACGATTGATTTATAGGATCTAGGTATTTTCGTATTCAAGTGATGATTCGCAATCTCCTCAAAATCTCGCACGTCTTCACTCTCTGGTTTTGTAGCTGCTCCGGAAGCTGTCGATTGGGATCGATTCACAATCATGGGGAAGGAGCATAGCCTTGTTCCACGGGTAACCTTATGGCTATGGCTCAGAGACTGAACCCTGGAAAATCGTAAGCCTCGGTACATTTCGTCCGTTTGCCTAGGTAATGTTGGTTCCAGATTTACAGAGTAAGAAATGATTGGAGTTTTCCTTGAGGATGGATATCTTTGATAGGATGAGAAATGGATGAATTGGGTTATAGGAGAAAAGTCGAATTTTCAACAAAATTGGCAGAAAAAAGTATGTATCATAGGAAACTGAGAATCTGGGCAATAAGACGTGAACTGAGTGGGTCAATCGTGTATATACGGGACAGAAAAGTCGATTTTTATGTCACTTTCCCTTCTCGCTCATCAACCCAAAACCTCAGCTTAAGCCATATCGGAAGGTTGAGGAAGGAACGACATGAAAATCTTTTGATATCAAATGTTCTTTTTCTGATTCCTTTTTTTATTCAATATTACATACTCAAGTACATAGGTATATACTTAGTTATCCAATCAAGATCTAATTGCACCTTTACATTCTTCACCGGATTTCCTAGGTTTGTATTTTTTGAGGGGAAGTCCGGGGATGAACATCATGCCATCCCAACAGAACTACTTTCAGGTATCGAGGGAGGCGCACGATGGTGTCAGAACATGTCAGAACAATGCAAGCCGTGTCTCAGTGTCCGAGGGAAAAGATTATCTTTACCTCTCTCTTCTGATCTTCGCTTTCTTCTGTTCTGTTGAGTGTGCCGTGTCCGAGCTTTTAATGCATTTTGGGCGTATCCGAGGTCGGAGCTATTGCTTGCTGCTAGGTGATTATTCACTGCTGCATCGACCCGTTAATTCATCAACTCATAGGTATATCAGCCAGGGCGGCTTGAGGTGCATCTCCCGCAGTGACATTCAGACCGTTCATCTGCACCGTGTTGTTCTCGGCATGAGAATTCAGGACCGTTTGTTGATCAAGTGTATTTCGCCATTCGACGAATTCATCAGATAGTATACCACCATGTCCCTTTTCCTCTACCTTGAATACCTCAATGGCCATGGATTTTTCTCTCCTTCGAATCTTCCACACACCATCACCGATGATAGTTGCTTTCAGGACTGTCTTTGTTAGCCACAACAAGAGTGAACAATGGTTCTAACTCACACTGAAGAATCTGATTCGCGAAGTTGATGCACATATCTCCATCCCATGAATTATTCCCCCCTCTCTTTACCATTCCAGGTATTTGGGCAGTGTTTATTCTTTCGACGCTTTGAAGAATTCCATCAGGACTTCGTTTTCCGACTATGATGTGAGGAACTCCAAGCAAAAATGATTGGAGCCAGAATTTCAGAAGCTTCCTCTCAAAATTCTGCTCATCTCCTCTATGCCTAGGAGTCACGCTTGTTTTTAACTCAAGCCATTCCGTAGACTTTCCATCCTCAGACTTTGATCCCTTGTATACTGGACCCTTGTTAGATACGAATCAACAGACCATAAGTTGTAAACATACTTCCGTCAACTTCTCCACCAATAACCAAAGCATTACTTCCAATTTTGGTTTTTACAATGGAACAATATTGGGCATGGTTATTGACAATCTCAGTATCTCGATTCTCGATATAATCTCGAGACGTTTCTGGCCACGGAGTAGGCATAAGACATAAAGTTTCGAACTTATATCCTATCTAAAGTCAATGAAAGTTACGAATATTCATTTAAGATACCTTAGACTTACCCCAAAAACTCATCGCATCTCCTGAAGGTCTTCCTGCTTGAGGTCGCTGTCGCGCATCTTGTCTAGCTCTGGTCATAACTTTATATTGATGATCTTCCTCGACAAAGCTATACAAGTCAGCTTGATGCCCACACGACAATAATTTATCATCAAGCATACATTGTCCCCTTCACCTCGATTAGTCCCAAAAATCTGAAACCCCATACCGATTACTCAACTCACCTCAAAACACGTGGCATTCATCTGGAACCCATCCCTAGAGTCAAACAAACTCGCAATAATCTGTACCCATTCTCATTAGCGTTTTCCTTGCTTATTTCTCCTAAATATAGACGAACTTTGGTCATCATTCCCCTCCAAGTAATAATATCGGCCTCAGTCTTAAGATTTGTCGTTTTCTCTTTCTCCATCAACGCCCTCAACAACGATTCCAGATGCTCATCCTTAGAATCATCATGTTTACGGAACGTTTCAAATCCGCGATTCAAATCCGTCCCTAGATCAGGCGGATAATACCAGCGAATCGAAGAATCATCTGAATGAAACTCGTGATTATCATCATAAGAAAAATGGGCAATTTCCTGTTCTGTTTGTTAGTTCAGAAAAAGAGAAATGAAATGGTGGATGATGAGGAGCAATGTACCTGTGGTCTGGAAATTGCAGTATTGCCACCATCACGAGTTCTCTCAAATTGATTTAGGGGGAGAGTATTAAATACATGGACTTGAGGATGTGTTTGATTATTAGTATTCATGATGAAGTGAGATCTACCTAGTAGGTATGGAGATGAACAATATTCTAATAGGAATTCCAATACGAATAGACCTATGAAAATTAGCAATTCCACGAATAAGAAGACTCGAGAAATCAGAAATCGTGATGGAAATAAATACTGGGTAGGTTGTCAGGTGCTGGCTTATAAGAGAACAAGTCTAGACATTAAATTCGCTTGGGACAAGGCAATGAGGCAAGGCCAAATAGTGTAGCTAGCCCGGCTCGAGGTCGGTACCTGATTCCATGGAGTAAATGGGATGGTTTCGTCTGATTTGTCGAGACGATCCCTGTTCATGCTCGTTCCCCGCTAATGCAATATTTACAGCCTTACAACAATTCAATGTTTACCTACGATATAGCTCGTGGTTCTATGAGAGTTATTTATTATATGCGACGAATGGTTACGGGGAAATTTGGTTATTGCAGTACAATACCAGCATCTATAGAAATTACTCTTCCAAATATTTATATACATCCTGTACCTTTATTACCCCTTCAATTAGTTCTCTTTATTTTGTCACAACCAAATCCGCATCCGAAAACAAATCAAGTCTTTCTCCAAACCTACGAACCTACAGACAATTTATAGACCTACGAACGAACCAATTCACATCATCCAACATGCCTGAACGCCGCAATCCCACCAGCGCCAATGCTCCCATCCGCCCCTCGGTCCGACGTAATCTCTTTCCCTCCCACCTCCGCACCTCCCACACCGCATCCTCCACCACCCCTTCCCACTCCTACGCTCACACCACACCCACCAACCCCGCCCCTTCACACCCTATCCCGTCTCTCCCCCGTCGTCCAACCACTTCCTCAACTAGTACGTCTGCCGAAACTCTTCGTCTGGACCACGTATCCACATTCCCTTCTCATTCCTCCCACTCCAACGACCGCGATGCCAACTTCCATTCCTTCCCTCATAATGGACATGAACGAAATGGGAGTCGGAATAACAGTACCTTGTCGTTCGATGGCACAACGGATATCGTAATGCGGGACAAAAATGGCGATTTTGATATTGGGAGTATGATGCTGGGAGGGGGAATCGATCCGGGAGGGGATTTGTCGTTTGGAGCTGATGATGAGGATATGGTTGGGGTTGAAGGAGAGGAGGAGAGTGAGTTTTTCTTTTCTTTGGGGTCCGGAGAGAAGAAAGGGAAACGTTTTTATACGGAGAGAAATGCTAACGCAACTTCTGAAATAGGAGAAAGACAACGCCTAAATGATTCGATAAAACATCATCAACGCGATCGCAATCGTGCGCCTAGTGAACCCGCTGGTTAGTACGATTCTTGCTTAACATATACCTCTTTGTACACTGGGCCCCCTCAAATCCATACATGAGACTGGCATTAGAACTTGCGCAAGGATGATACTGACCAAATATCTAGAATTACTAGAAGCAGTACGGAATAGTCTACGTGCGAAGACAGCAGCCCTATCAGATGATAACTGGATGTTTGAAGCGGAAAATGAGGGGGTTGTTCGGTAAGCGTGGTTAAATTCTGCAGAGTTCATGCTCGTAACAGATATGCGACACTGCAAATAAGAGCCTAGGAGCGACTTGTATTGGATATATCATGCAGAGCACTGATGGACTGGCACACTGGGAATACTTGAGGTATAGAAAAATTTGTTTAACATGGCGTAAAGATTGGATGGCTGCATGGAATGGGAGTTGGGATACCCAGGGCTGATCCTACATATTGCGGTAGTTTTACGGAGTATTGGTATTGGTATCTATATTTTCTTCTTCTCTGGAATTGAACAACTGTAGTTTGAGACCATCAGTCATCCATTACTCCCCCATTCAACGTAAGCCTTCAGCTTTAATCAAGGCCCTCGGCTACTGGTGCACCCCCCGACTGTCCAATCCTCCTAGCCTGCGGTTGCTGTGCTCCACCGCCCATCCCACCCCCAAACATACTCCCCATCATATCCAACAATGGATTTCCCTGCCTCGGTCTCTGAATGCCAAAATACATTTCTCCCACGCTCGTCAACGCCTCCTCCCACATCTCCCCAGCTTCCTTCATCTGTCCCGCATACTTCTTCATCAACTGTTTGAAATCCAACGAATTTCCCTTCTGCACCGCTACCAACAACAGTCCCAGAAAATTCAACAAAGGAATCGAAGGATAAATCTTAATATCCTCATTCGCGCCCCCCAATTCCTGCACCGTCAACCCCGCATTCGCCTCTCGCAAACGGGTCGTGAAAATCCCCAAACTCTTGCGCGCATCCCGCACATTCCCCACCAGTAAATAAGGCAACACAGCTCGACTCGCATACAGTGCGGCGGTATGACTATCGTCCTCAAGATACCATTCATATTCCATCTTGGCTAGCACCTCGGCGGAATCCTTCGTGCCGAGTATTAAATGGCGTTCCGCATCATATACTTCTCCTTCCTCTGCGAGCAAACTCCCTATAACATGATGCAATTCTGGATCGCCAGCGGGGTACGTAGAGGTTTTGCAACTCCACGCGATGGTTTCGGTGATGAAGCGCTTGCGACTGGGTTCCTCGGGAGAAAACGCACGCAGGAGGGTGAAGAGTCGACCTTTGGACGAGGAGTCGCAGGTGAGAGATGAAGTGTTGTAGACTTCGAGGAGGAAGAGAGCGAGATCGCCGCCGGAACCGCCCTGTGCGGCTTGCAGCAGGGAGAGCGAAACGGAATAGAGAATGTCGGCTGCGGCGGGGTAGTTTTGGGATTTGATGTAGCGGGAGGCGACGACGCGGGTCTGCTGGTGCGCTTCGTAGTAGGTGCCTTCTGCTGTTCTGGGGGGTGGTTAGTAAGGAATGAGACATAATTTTGGACGAGGTGAGGTGGGAGGGAGAAGGGGAATGGGCAAGAGAGAGGGAGGAGTTGTGAATTCTTACTTTTCTTGCAAGCGTGCAATGATCTTATCGATCTTTGCAGACATTTTTCCGGTATGGAAAGTGTTCTAATAGCTGTACTTGAATGCTGAAGAGTTTCCGAAATTAAAATGAAGTTCTGCGCGGTGGCATGTGTTCTGCGACGAGGTGGTTAAAGTAGCACAAGCTTGAGAGGTGGTGGGATGAGAGGTTCAAAGCTCGGAAGTTATTAAGCTGTGACGTGGTGGCGCGGCCGCTGCAGGAAAATTTATTATAGTGAGCCTTGGGACTCAGTACTAACGGAATGACAGTTCAATTGATTGAAAATCTGGGGTTGTAAAACAAATCATGGATTTACACTAGTCCTTACAGTTGTTAATTATATTTAGCAAATGAAGCCACGATCAAGAGTTTTGGGCTCAAGATTGACTGTTCTTTTTACTTTTGTGTTTGGAATAAAAGTGCTCCCGGTGAGCTTGAAATCTGGTACACAAGAGTTCAGCTCACCAGGAGTAAACCTAGAAAAACAGTACCAAAATGATTAAGCTCGTGGGCCTTGTAGATACCTGCTTAAGGACTCGAGGAAATACTACCGAATCAAATACATATCGTGAACAATCTGATAGTACACTCCATTCACAACTTTACTAGGATTTCATTCAATACATGCAAACCGTCACGGTCAAAAAAGCTTTAGAAAAATTAGAAAGATAAATAGTAAACTTGCTAATTCGAAAAAGCCAACGTATCCTATGAAAATTGGAAATTTCATCAATTTCTGAAGGTCATAATTTCATTCCTGTCACCTACACCTAATGAATATTGTGATATTGTTTCCCGCTCAGATTGCCTTTTCCCCAGAGAACTAAATCCTCAGAATTATGAGCGCGCAATTAGTAACGCTAGAATTATATTAGCTTATCTTTATCTCGAAGGCTAATTGAATGTACTCACAGGAGGGACTGGTGGGCCTCCACCTGGTCTGTATTGTTGTTGACCAGGATAAGCACCACCTGGAGGAGGAGCGCCATATTGTCCTTGTTGTTGAGGAGGGTATTGACCTTGTTGAGGAGGATATTGGCCTTGTTGTGGTGGAGGATATCCGCCAGGTTGTTGTCCATAGCCTTGAGGAGGGCCTGGAGGAGGGGCGTAACCCTGTTGTGGTTGTCCATATTGACCGCCAGGTGGTGGAGGACGGCTTCCTTGTTCATCCTTGGTATCGTAGGAGGAATCAATGGCACCGACCAAAAGCTTCAGTAACCACAAATCAGGAGTCAAGTCTGTTCCTGGGTTGGTTCGGGCCATTTCATCTTGTTCGGCTTCGAAGTTGGATGTACAATCGATCAAATCTCCGATGGTTCTATCGTCATCGAGTTTCTTCAAGAATTCAGTAGCTTGCTTGTCATTGCCGACTTGTGCGAATTGATAAGAAATGGCTTGTTTTCCATACGGAGTACGTGCGAGCTCGGCTGAGGAGTTCTTCACAAGTTGGAAAACATCATCTTGGTTATCTGGTTGACCATCGGTAATAACGATAACCAAAACTGGCTTTTGAAGTGAGTTGGATCTGACCTTGCTCATGATCAATGGCTCTACAACCTTGTTTCTAAGTTGTGCACCTAATGGAGTCAAACCCTTGAACTGGACGCGTTTGACAAGTTCCTCGACTTCTGGCTCAGATCGAATGTGGTTTCCTTGTACGTCACTGTTGATGAAGCGAACCTCGATTCCATCGGCATCGAATAGAGATCCAGCGTATGCAGCTCTTCCTAATACGAGCTTCATGTCATCAATACGGGAACCGTTCTCCTGGAAAATCATAGAACCGCTGTCATCTTTACGGAGTCAGTATTTTTTTGTACGTCACTCAAAAAGATTTGAGAACATACCAACGAAGAGAATAATGTCGAATAAAGCAAGCTTTACAATATCAGCACCCAACTCCTTGGGTACGTTCCAGCTTTGGCAGAGTTGATCAATTTTTTGAGGAGCAATGGAGCAGATCTGATCAAGAATTTGAGGGTTTCTGAAGAAATTACCCAAGTTCTTCTCTCGGATAGTGTCCTCAAGAGATTGCTTAACCGCTTGTGGTGGAATAGAGCTTCCACCTGGAAC